ACACACACACACACACACACGCACACAAATGCTGAAATGAAATACACTCTAATATGCACTTACATACACTTCAGACAAAAGAAAGTTGGCCATACGAGAAAGTTAAGACTGTTGGCCAAGGAAACATGCCAATGTCATAATCTTAAAATGGGCAAAAATTGCCCAACAGCCTGACCAAAATGTCTATCATTATAAGTGATCTCATAGTTAATCTATTCTGAGTCATATTATCCTTTTCCTTGCCTAGTTTTGTTGATGGTTTTCAAGGGCATTTGCATCATGCAACCTTGTCTATGTAGGCATCTGCCTAATTTGACTAGTTTTTATATGGTTAGTTACACATTATCATTTGTATTTGATTCCCTTCTGCTTACAATCAGAACAGACCGGTCAACGAATTTTGTGTTTTGACCCTCCAGTTGAGGACCACTGCTCTAGACCGTGTGCATCACACTGACTTCACCCATCAGCTCTGTTTGACTGTAGATCAAGACCTCACACATTTTGTGACACCAGCACAGCTGACAGTCTCAGCCGTCAGACACGGATCCGGCTCCACCACCTTCACGCTCCATTCCAGTGGGGCATCTGTTAGTGCCTCCTCCCGGGTTGGCCGTAAAGTTCTCTCAGACTTGGCATAACAGGATGAGCGTGCCCTGAAAGATAAGCCCTGTTACATTGGAGCTGTTCTGCTGACTGTTGCCAAATCACAACCACCATAAAACATCTAATCTTAATTAGCGCATTTGCTATTCACCTCTTAAACACTGTAGTTTCAGCTGTTGCAGATCGTGAGCTAAAGCAAAACAAGAAAAAAATGCTCAAAGTTGTTGATGTCACTGAACCATGAAACTTTTGGCCCGGGGTTGAAATTGCACTGTGTACACATTCTTTAGCAATTTAGCTGCAGGGATAAACATACCTTACATCAACACGCTGTTTGTACTCTAGATTTGCCCCGCTTTAGGCTGACAGCGCCCGTACACTCGGCTCTCTGAGCAGAACAAGTGAAATCCAGACAGTTCCAATTATCCCATTCACTGCGGCTGTCGAGTGTACAACTGGATGGACTTTGCATACATACAAAGAAGTGTGATTAATTCTGATCGTCATAAATAATAAAAAAAAAAACATTGTTTTCAAACATTCAGTTTGAGTTGCATTACAGTATGCTTTGTACGATTATACCAAATAAATCAAACTACGCAATGGACCTTTTTCACAGATTTTGATTATGCATTTCCAGAATTATTTAATATAATACATTTAGCAGTTTTTTCTCAATTAAAAAAAAAAGTTCATGTTTATCACATAATTTTCCTTTATTATATTACCTTTGCATTAAATTACTGAAAACAAGTTTATGTTGCTGCATGAGTGTTTCTAATACAGCTGCTGAGGGAGTGATGGCAAATTTGACATTTTTCTCTCTTCTAACCACTTTGCCCTTTTGACAAGTCATAGAAATGCTATTGTAATTTTGTTTCTTTTGTTATTGGAGAAAAAGGGAACTCAAACATTTTTATTGGTTGTACACTAAAAATATTTTAAGTTTATTGATTAAAGAAGATGAATTTATATTAATTTATAAAATACTATCAGTTTTTCTTCTTTAAAGTTTTGCAATTAATTCAGCCTGTTCTTGTTTCTTTGTAATTATTTGTGAAATTTATTAGCAATTTCTGGTTACACTTTATTTTAAGGTGTCATTGTTACAGTGTAATTATAAATTTAAGTACTGAGTAATATTAATTAACTACATACACGTACTATATGGTTAGGGTTTGGCTTAGGGCTACTTGCATGTAATTATTCATCATTTATTGTTATTATAATAGTAAGTATGTGTAACAAAGACACCTTAAAATTAAGTGTTACCCAATTTCCGAGTGAATTTTTTTTTATCAGTTTAGTTTCTGTTCACTACTAAGATTACCCGACTTCTTCTAAGAACCCCAGAAATATGAATAGGGTCCATCTAATATTCTTTAATAACTCTCTTCAGTGCTTTTTTTCTAAGTGGTCCATCTGGAGTTACAGTATAGTTTAGTTTCAAACCAATTGGGAGATATATTTGTAAGTTTGTTTGAAAGACTTATAAGGATGTCTCTCTTGTCTCCTGTAGATCATTACAAAGTATGTTTATGAACGCTTGGAGAACGACTGCAACCTGAAGAAGGAGATCCTCCCTGTAAGTAATGTATTTTTTCCTCCTTAATACTTTAGATGCCCACAATTTGATTCTAAACAGAATTATTGCGAGCATTGATGCAGTTGCTCTTGGCATCCTATAAGATTACAATGGTCTTTATTGTGTGAAAACTAAGTTTTAGAAAGATATTCTTCAAAACTTCTCAACTCTCCAGGAGAAAATTGCATTTGTTCTGATGGCAAAATTGCGTACGCTCAAGGAGATTCCTGAGGTGTGGTCACTGCATTCATATGAGCAATAATGTTATGATTTCTAGTACACTTTTTAAGAGGCGTATCATTAAACTACACATCATTTTTGATAGCGGGTGTTTGCACTTGGTAGACATAGAATTTATGTCCTTTTAAAAGCACTGTAAATTTCTCTCCATAAATCACCTGAACAATGCTGGCACAGGCTTTTATGAGCTGTTTTATTTGTGGAGAGTATTTACCAAATGATGTCCTTGGAGTCTGTATTGTCTTTCAGAGAGTTTCATGGGCAAAGCTACCTGTGACCAACTGCATTTAATGCTTAATCCATTTATCAAAGTCTGTTTGAAAGAAGAGTAGACACAAAATGCATTGTGTTATTTCTAAGCGTATGATTCTATGTTCATCTTAGAGTTTGCCACATAACTTATCAGCACACAGGAAGCATACACCATGTAAATGTCAAGATAGATTTGTTGCAATGTAATGAAGTCATCAGATGCAGACAGACATCAGTTGATGTTTTTGGCATTGAACGCCGTTCATTAGAAATGATTCCAGGCTCTGACTCACTCTGCTGTTTCTGAGAGTGTCCTGCCCCACTTTAATAAGAGTAAATATAGTTGTTGACACACATCAGGGGATTGAGGAGTCGCACAAACAACACAAAAACACCTTTTATAATCGGATCGGGGTTCACAGAGTTTGCCGAGTTCGACTAAATGATGATGGATGTTAGGTTTCTAGTTTTACTTGGTTATAAACTGCTTCATTTACTGTAGAATTTTGGAATGTAGTGTGAACTCTTGTTTTGAAGTGCCCTAAGTATGTTCAATATAAAAATGAAATTTCCAAACTAAAGATTTAATTGGCTGTAATCTTGTGCCTCGTCGTAACTGGCGAATGGCATCTCAGTTTGGAGCTAATTGTGATATTTATATTCCTTCAGGTTGATGCAACTGAGGATGAACCAAAAAGCTTTATTTACATGAGCGAGGATGCCCTCACTAACCCAGAGAAGATCATGGTTCTCATCCAGGGCAGTGGAGTGGTAAGGGCAGGCCAGTGGGCTCGGCGCCTCATCATTAATGAAGACCTCAACAGTGGGACGCAGATACCCTTCATTAACCGCGCCAAAGAGGTGGGTCTTATTTTGTCTTCATTTTTATTTTTATTTTTTTTAGCGAAGGGAAGTATTTAAGCATGATGCATACAAAGTTACTTTCACTTTTTGTTGTAAAATAATTTATTGCATATGTGTTGTGTTGGGTGTGTGTTGGCTATATAGTTTATTTATCCAGATTATCTTGTTCTGAGATCAGATGTCAATCAAGTAAAAATGTGGCAACTTTAAGTTCCAATTCCAGCAAAATTTTAATAACATACATACTCTTTTTTTTTATTAATATTTCAGAAATAAGTTATGCAACAAAACAATAATATTCTGAAATATTATTAAAATTATTTAGAAATATTTTCTGTTTTAATAAATTATCAAATGTAATTTATTCCTGTGATGGCAAAGCTGAATTTTCAGCAGTCTTTAGTATCACATGATCCTTCAGAAATCATTCTAATATACTGATTTGATGCTGTTTATTATCAATTATTGGTGCCCATTTATTAGTAATGTTTTTTATTGTCAATGTTGAAAACAGTTAAAGGGTTAGTTCACCCAAAAATTAAAATTAGCCCATAAATTACTCACCCTCAAGTCATCCTAGGTGTATATGACTTTCTTCTTTCAGACGAATCCAGTCTGAGTTATATTAAAAATGGTCTTTGATCTAATTGAATCGATGCGTTTTTGTAAGAAAAAGATCCATATTCAAAATGTAATAATCACTTTAATGTAGCTTGCGCCAACAGTTGTACACGGAAGCAGCTCCGGGCTGATGACGTATGAACTTGAGGGTGAGTAATTTATGGGCTAATTTTAATTTTTGGGTGAACTAACCCTTTAATGATGTTAAAAATTCAGCTTTACCATCACAGGAATAAATTACATTTTAAAATGGAATAAAATGTTAAAAATATTGTAAATTGTAATAATACATCACAATGTTACTTACTGTTCTTACTTATGGTGGGACAAAATATCGATATGGCAATATATCATTGTCCTTCTCCATGCGATACGAGAATTGATGCACTGGTGCCAAATATCGATATTTTAATTAATACAATAAGGCACTCTAAATAGTTTTCCCTGCTCCCAGCATCTAAAAAATGTGGCCGCATCATTTTCGACTTCTTTCCAAACTCCTTGTGCAAACAAAAATCTCACTGGATTATTACAATTAATGGGAAAATTAATGTTTGGAAATGTAAATTTATATTTCCTACTGACACACTACTGCAAAAGATAGAAATAACTGACTTAAAACCATTTTTAGCTGGTGAAAATACTAGTGTTCTAATCATTCTGGCCACCACTGTATATAAAAAAGTTGATAAGCAGTTAAATGTGTTGGTTTACACACAAAGAAAAGTGTGAGCTTTTAATAAGTCCAGGAATAAAATGATTAATTTACTTTACTTAAGTTAAATTTGATTTACAGAACTTTTTACAGTGCTGTTTTCTAACAGTTTAGACTTTAATAAAAAGAGAAAAGTTGCACTTAACCTTTTCACAGGCATTTTGTTTTCATAGTTAGATATTGTGATGTATCATTATAGGATTGTCTAGCAATATATCAATTACTGCAAAAATCGCTGTATCGTGATATTACCATATCGTGAGCCATGTATTGTGATTCGTATCGTGAGGTACCCTGCAATTCCCACCCCTAGTTCTTACTCTATTTTCAATCAAATAAATGCAGCGTTGTTGAGCATAAGAGACTTAAATTATCTTAATTATTCAAAACTTTTGACCAGTAGTGCATATTTTTATTTTTGTATTGTGAATTTAAAACATAATGAAGTTTTTTCTTTTTTTTTGTTTGTGTATTTTATACACATTAAAAATACTTATTTCTATATTATTCTAGTTTATATTATTAAAAATGAATGTGGTTTGGTGTGTAAAGATATTGGCAGGGTGTGTAAATATCTGAACTTCTGGTCTGACTGGGCCAGTAGATTTTAACATCACTGAAAGTGTTATCACATGCTTGTAGTCTGAGCAACTGCTGTATCTATCTCTATTTTCTCCTCTGTATCCCTCTTTACTCTCTCCAATCCATAGATATTTATTTACCCAGCAAAAGGAGCTGTTTTGCTGTTACGTGTGTACTGTAAACTGTAATTTAGATTTTCATTTCTTTTCTCTGTCGGAGGACGTATCCCCGAGTGGAGTTATTTCCGTCCATCGCGGCTAGTCGTTTGTCACGCCGCCCGCCGCTACCTGTGTAATTTCATCGGCCTGTGCGTTCAAATTGACTTAAGGGAGATCTCCCTCGCTCTTCCATCTAAATGTCATAAAACACACACACACTGCCACACTGATGTCTGCAGGCAAAGTCACTTTTCGTACAGTGCCGGGAAAAGACGGACAGGGAAGGCGAGTTTGCTTGTAGGTGTGTGTGAGTGGCTTATTGCATTTGCGAAGAGGTGCGTTCTGGGGGCGTACTGTGACGGGTTAGACGGAAAGAATGCATGTTGTGCTCTGCTGACCATTTATCATGCTAAATAATGACCCCAGCTTTGCCGTGACATGATCATACTAGCATTTACACGAAGAGAGATTCCAGAGTTTGTTGCGTGTATATCAGTATGACAGAGGGAATGTGGCTGTCACTTTGCAATATCTGAATTGCTGAAGGTGTGCGGATGCGCTGTCTGATTCTTCAAGTGACTGCTCGTGTTTGTGATTTCCTCTGTGATAAACAAGGCCACCTGAGGCCACGTGCCGAATACGCTCTGATCCGAGATCAGTTTGTTCTTTTAGCCTGTGAGATGTGTTATTCTGATGGGAATTGGTTACATGCTTACAAACAGATTTCATTGCTCCCTGATCTGTCCTGTGAAGCTTTATTAAAAATTATTGTGTAGAAATAAGATTGTAAAATAAAGCAGGTTGATTCTGAGTTGCTCACAATTTTGATGTGGGCTTTAGTGGGCACTTTAGTGGGCAGTCGTGGCCTAATGGATAGAGAGTCGGACTTGAAACCCGAAGGTCGCGGGTCTAGCAGGGATTGTAGGTGGGGGGAGTGAATAACCAGCGCTCTCTCCACCATCAATACCACAACTGAGGTGAGACCATTGAGCAAGGCACCGAACCCCCAACTGTTCCCTGGGCACCGCAGCATTGGCTGACCACTGTTCCAGGTGTGTGTTCACGGTGTGTGTGCGTGTTTGTTCACTACTCACTGCTGTGTGTGCACTTGGATGGGTGAAATGCAAAGCACAAATTCCAAGTATGGGAAACCATACTTGGCCACACGTCCTTTCCTTTCCTTTCCTTTCCTTTCCTAGTAGACTATTGTCTTTATTAGCACATTGTCAGAGAAAACACAGCAGGAAGACAACTCAAACAATCAACGTTTTTGAAGCCAGACCAGAATGGTTTTGAAATCAGAAAATAAGAGAGAGAAAACTGTAATCAAGCACTCTTCAAAGTTTAGTTCAAAATCAAGTAGCAAATATATACACTACAAGTCAAAAGTTTTTGAACTGTAAGATGTTTAATGTTTTTTTAAAGAATTCTCTTCTGCTCACCAAGCCTGCATTTATTTTATCCAAAATACAGCAAAAGCATGCACACTGTGAAATATTTTTACTTTTAAAAATATCTATTTTCTTTAAAATATATTTTAAAATATAATTTATTCCTGTTATCAAAGCAAAATTTTTAGCGTCTTTACTCCAGTCTTCAGTGTCACATGATCCTTCTGAAATCATTCTAATATGCTGATTTGCTGTTCAAGAAACAATTATTAACAATTATTATTATTATTATTATTATTATTATTATTATATTGTTATGATCAATATTTAAAACAGTTGAGTACTTTTTTTTTCAGGATTCTTTGAATAGAAAGATCCAAAGATCAGCATTTATCTGAAATAAAAAGCTTTTGTAACATTATACACTATACCATTCAAAAGGCTTTAAATTGATCAAAAGTGATGATACAGACATAAATCCTGTTCTTCTGAACGTTCTATTAATCAAAGAAACCTGAAAAAATTCTGCTCAGCTTTTTTTAACATAATAATAATAATACTAAATGTTTTTTTGAGCAGCAAATCAGAATATTAGAATGATTTCTGAAGGATCATGGAATGAGTAATGATGCTAAAAGTTCAGCTTTGAAATCACAGGAATAAATTACATTTTAAAATATATTCAAATAGAAAACTGTTATTTTAAATAGTAAACATATTTCAAAATTGTACTGTTTTTGCCGTACTTTGGATCAAATAAATGCAGGTTTGGTGAACAGAAGAGACTTCTGACTTTTGACTGGTAGTGTGTTTATGTAATTTCAGAATATAAAATAATAAAATGCCATTCAAAAGTATAAAAGTTTGGGGCTGGTATAAATGTTAATGTTTTGTAATGAAAAGAAGGAAAAATTACACGACCATTAATACAACTTTAAGATAAATGCAATAACTGCTGATCCAGCTGTTGCATGTGTGCAGGAGTTTAGCTGGTCACACACCACTGACTACGTGCCACTGTGCAAGAGAAGATTGTGCATTATTCCCACAGCGGCGAGCGTGTGACAGACTCTGGGCGTCCACAGAAGGCCGCCGTGGCAGCGCTGGGAAACAGGGCCGGAGTCTGACAGCTGGGTTGCCGAGAGAGTGAATGCGTATGAACTTGTGTGTGTGTTTGAGAAAGAAAGCAAGCTTGCTTAATGACAGCTTATTCCTTCATGAGTTTAACTCCTGACAGCCGACAGCTCTGCCTGTTGCATCATGGTAGCAGAATCATTAGCTTGTGACCTGTCAGAAGCAGGAGAGAGCAAGAAAAAGCTGGAGAAACGAAAGACTGTGGGATTTTGACTTCACTCGTATTGCAAGGTCAGAATTCAAGTACTGTAAACTAGAGTTGTGGGTGATCTGTGACCCCTAAAACTGGTCACGGGTCTGTCCTGACAGGATTACAAGACCAGTTTAGACCACTGGCCTAAACTAGCTTGGTGTTTATGCAAGGACGAGGACACGTGCCTGGTGTGTATGAATGTA